TGTGTAGAGATCTTTCCTATTCTAATTAATTCAAGAGGGTTTTGGAAGCTTCTCTGTATGAAAGAAACAAGCAGAAGGTTCCTGGTGTTTGGGTTATTCCTTCAGAGAAGCTGAGCACAGCTGGTTTAAACTGGTTCTCTTATCTCTTCTGTCAAGGTCATGCTGACTATAAAAGTAGGGCCAGAAGGAGCCTTGGTTTCATTTTCTATCTCTTTTTCTTCTGGTGTAGTGTTCTGTGCACAGTACGCTTAGTGTTAAGGTTTAGATTTATTTTGAGTTATTGTAAGTTTGAGTTAAGTTACGTGTGCTGCAAATGGATTTTTTATGGACAGGGCCAATCCTGAATGTATTGGATTTGTGACACATTATGCTCATTTGCCTTCAGTAGCAGTAAAGCTCTGCTGGATGAAATACAATTGCCTCCGGTCTATTTTTTGGGAATCCTGCAACGTGTTTTAAGTTTTTACTCTGCTAACTATACATTAGACAAACCTAGACAGCATCTTAAAAAGCAGAGACATCACCTTGCCAACAAAGGTCCGTATAGTTAAAGCTATGGTTTTCCCAGTAGTGATGTATGGAAGTGAGAGCTGGACCATAAAGAAGACTGATCGCCGAAGAATGGATGCTTTTGAATTATGGTGCTGGAGGAGACTCTTGAGAGTCCCATGGACTCTCTGCAAGAAGATCAGACCTATCCATTCTGAAGGAAATCAGCCCTGAGTGCTCACTGGAAGGACAGATCCTGAAGCTGAGGCTCCAATACTTTGGCCACCTCATGAGAAGAGAAGACTCCCTGGGAAAGACCCTGATGTTGGGAAAGATGGAGGGCACAAGGAGAAGGGGACGACAGAGGACGAGATAGTTGGACAGTGTTCTCGAAGCTACAAACATGAGTCTGACCAAACTGCGGGAGGCAGTGGAAGACAGGAGTGCCTGGCGTGCTCTGGTCCATGGGGTCACGAAGAGTTGGACACAACTAAACAACTAAACAACAACAACAACAGCAACTATACATTGGAATCTACTCTGGATCAATACTGAGTAGAATTCCATGACAGTCTTGTGCTTTAAATGTGTGAATCCTCCGAGGCTGATTTTGCACCAGAGCTCGGGGCTAACGATAGCAGCTGCAACTACCAGCCGCAACTACCAGCCGCAACTGGGGTTTAAGTAAAATCCAGGCACTAGGCTTGTCCTTGCAGGGGCTTCTGTTGTTTCACGGCTGCCTGCGGCGTACTGTAAATATGGTAGTTTTCCTTCTGCAAAGATTTCACCTTGTTAAATTGCATATAACATTGAAAGGCCCACAGCAGGAGGTCTTAACAGCGATAGCCTCTATTGCACACTAGCGGGAAAAGACCTGAGTAGCAGTTCAACGATGGCAAAAGCCGCATGATGACACTAAGCAGGTTGAATAAATAATACTCAGTGCAGAGCTACTCTGATGCTCGACTTTCGGAAGGGAGGGAAATGCTCCCATCCTGGGAGAGAGCCGAAGGAAGCACACTCAGCCCGGTGTTTCCAAAGCCATGCATTTAAAAGGAGGAAGGAAATCTGTATTTAAACATCTAGGATCTCTTTTTCAAATACGCTGCCTAGCAGAAGCTGAAAGCTTAGAAGGGCTGCCTTCGGGGAAAATGAGGGGCTAGGATGCATTAGTGGGGTGCAACAACCTACAACATAATTTTCAGTAGAAACCCCAGTGAAATTCAGGACAGGTTCCTGTCTGCAACTCCAGATCTGCTAGCTAGCCTGATGTAAGTGCCTTTTCCCCATTGATAGAGCTTTTCGTGGCCCTGCTTCTCTTTCCTGCTCTTTGAAATGTGGCAGCCCTTTTGTAATGTGCCACACCCCCTCTGCAGCCATATCTGGGACTGGTCCCACGACACTTCCTCAAGATTCCCAATGTGCCCACTGGCTCAAAAAGGTTGACTCAGAATCACCTCACCTCTTCTGATTCTGAATCCCATTGGACCCACCCTTTGCCTTGCTGGATGGAAGAACAGGAAGGAGAAGGAGAAGATTCGTTTTTCTGCTTAGAATAGCAATGCTAGCAAGTCTACATAAAGCTGTGTGGGGAAGTTCTAATATCCATTGTGGCCTTCTGCTAAGGCACATGAGCCCTTATTTTCTCAAAGGATGAGAAGGCATTTCTTTGCTGGAGCTCTCATTATTACTACTACTACTACTACTACTACTAATAATAATAATAATTTATTTATACCCCGCCCTCCCCAGCTAGAGCCGAGCTCAGGGCGGCTAACACCAGTAAAATTACAATAAAAACGTAATAGGGGAAGGGGGAAAAAACAATTTAAAATACAGGTTAAAATACAATTTGAAAAGCAGCCTCATTTTAATAATAGCCCATAGATCAAAACCATAAGGGGAAGGAAACATAAGGGTCAGACTGAGTCCAAACCAAAGGCCAGGCAGAACAGCTCTGTCTTGCAGAAAGATGTCAGGTCCCGCAGGACCCTGGTCTCTTGTGACAGAGCGTTCTACCAAGTTGGGGCCAGTACTGAAAAGGCCCTGGCCCTAGTTGAGACCAACCTAACCACCTTGTGACTTGGGACCTCCAAAGTGTTGTCATTTGTGGACCTTAAGGTCCTCTGCAGGGCATACCAGGAGAGGCGGTCCCGTAGGTACGTGGGTCCTAGGCCGCGTAGGGCTTTAAAGCTCAAAACCAGCACCTTAAACCTGACCCTGTACTCCACCGGGAGCCAGTGCAGTTGGTAAAGCACTGGATGAATGTGATCCCACGGCAAGGACCCCGTAAGGAGCCTCGCCGCGGCATTCTGCAGACAGACAATTGTGGGTAAAAGCAGGTTGCAGAGTCAGGATTGGCACCCACGAGTTGGGGAAGGAAGATACGGTTTGCTCATTTCCACCCGCCAAGCCAAGAATCCAAAGCATAAAACCGATGGGTGTGGAGCACACCAGCAACAGCTTGTCCACCCGTTGCTCAAATCAATTATTAAGCCATTCTGAAAGGGCGCCTCACACGACGGAGGCTGTGACTCCGCTAGAAGAAGCCTGGATAAAGCAGCAGCCGCCCCCAGCATGCCCGCTGCTTGCCCGGATGCCTTGAGGCCTGGAATATTATTTGATGGCCTGTTCCCCCCACCCCCTGCCCTTCTCCCCAGGGGGCAGGAAGCCCTGGGTAGCCTTCAGAGCATCAGCAACCTTTGGGGAAAGGATGTCCTGAAGGCATCTTTGCAAGAGCAAACTTTGCCTTCTCAGCTTAACGGCAAAATGTCAAGGAGAAAGTGTTGAGTACAAATCCTATCAGGTTCTGATCTGGCAGGAGAAATTCTGCTCTCCGTCACCTCGAGAACGGGCTAGAATTCCTCCATTTTGCCAGTTTCCTTATGAAATTGAAACAGGGCTGCCACCGGGCATCTTGGGCGGTGGCTGCAGGGTTAAAGAGGAGGCCACGCACCTCCGTAATCTTAAAACCTGCTGCAAAATGAGCATCAAAAGCATCCTTGACTTGGATGCATTTTTTATTTTCCTTCCCAGTAACTGGGAAGCCAGCAGCTCCCACAGCAAATACCAGGGCATTCATTTGGTGCCCTTGTAGTTTTTCTATTTCAGAAGCCTGTTCTGTAAAGCCACTTCCACCTTGCAAAGGAGGTGGTGTTGCGGGCGTCACGCCCCCACCATGCGCGCGGAGGCTGGACTCAGCCTCCGTGTGATTGGGGGAATCCCTGGCCGCGTCACCCCCTGGCCAGCCAATCAGCTGGCTCGGGGGACATGGCCTGCTCCATTTAATGCAGGCGCAGCCGGGGATCTCCCTCTTTTGCCGCCTCCAGCTGCTCCAGTTTCCCACCCTTCCGCCCTTTAATATTTTCGTTCCTTGACCTAGCTATGGACCTCGGTTGGTCGCCACCGAGGGGCCTGGTAGGAATTTTTCCACTTGGCAAATTGGCACCAGCCACTTGGTTTTCGCCTACCTCGTAGCAAATCATCACAACTTTCTTGGTATTGGTGGTTAGGCATTGGTATTGGTATTGTAGATGGAAGAAGGGAGGAAGCGCCATCACCTGCCCCGTATATTGAAGGGTAGTCCAATAAAGGATTCTGGGGGGCGTGGCCCTGTCCGAATCCTATGGAGGTGAGGGCCTAAGACACGCCCCCAATCAGTGACCCCGGGGGAGTTCTTAGTTGATGTCCATCAGCAGGACTCCCCCTACTGGTGGTTAACCCTTCCTGGACTTCAAGCGGACAGGCTGAAGCTGGATATAGTCTGTTAGGATCAATGCCTAAGCCAATACCACTCATCACCTGTAACCAATAAAGTTGTGGCCTTATTTAGCCCATTAACCTTAATAATTGTGTCATGTGTCTTTATTTCCACTGGGGGGAGGCGGGAACTTACCGCACAACTTTCAAAACAGGAACAGCCGGCAGGGGTGTGTGGAGTCACAGACCTGACTCCCAAACCCAGCAGCAGCATAGCTACATTCACTAGCACCCTGACCTTGCTGCCACCCTGCACCAACCCTCGCGACCCCAATATATGGCAGCCATGCCAGTTGTAGACCAGCTCCAGGGCTTTGCCCCTCCCCAACAGCTGTTCTTGCTTCAAACCTGCAGATCCGGCTGCCTGGACCACCGAAATCAAATTTACCTAGCAGAGTCGTTCGTGCTCCAGGTTCCATCACTGCCCTAAGACAAGTCACGAACTACCTCTTCCTTATTTTATTTCTTATTTATTTATTGCATTTATACATAGCTGTCAACCTTCCCTTTTTTACGGGAAATTCCCTTATTCCAGCGCCGTTTCCCGCTGCTATCCCGGATTGTTAGATTCCCGTAGACTGTCCCGGGACAAGTGAGGCTGCTGATCTCTTATTTTTGAGATTGCTGATCCCTTATTTTCAAATCTGAAAGTTGACAGCTATGCATTTATATCCCACCTTTTTCTCCAGCGAGCTCAAGGTGGTTAGGCTGAGAGTGAATGACTGGTCCCCAAGTTCACCAAGTGAGCATGACGGCCAAGTAGGGATTTGAACCCTGGTCTCTGCCAAGCCCTAGTCCAATGCTCTAACCACTACACCACACTGGCTCTTCTCACAGTACATAGCTGTACTGTGAACTCTGCTCCCCAAGGATGCAGTTGGTGGCCATAAATTTTGTGGTCCCCCCCCCCTCATAATTTTATTAAATTTTCTGTTTTACATTTTAGAATATCCACTTAAACAACCTTAAAATATCAAAGACTTCCTTTCCTCTCTTTCAATGGTTCATTTTGCATAACATAAATCCCTGCATATTTTAAATAAACTAAACCATTCAGTATTCCATGATTACAGCCATCAAAACTTATTTACACAGCTGAATTTATCTTAACGCTGCTCATGTTTTCAAATATACACAATTTCCCCCCGTATATTCAATAAACATAGTCCAATCTTCTGTAAAAGTATGTTCTTCTTGTTCTCTTATTCTATATTTAGGTCTGCAAGCCATACATTTTGAAGGCTTTAAAGGGGGATTATATCAATTATATCAATGAACAGACGAAAAGCATTCTCCTAAGCTCCCATGTTTCCTAAATACCGCCTTTCAATGCAATGGCAGCTGGTCCACTAACCTCAGTCAGCCTTTAGCCAGACCTCAGTTGCCTGCTGTCTTGCTTATATCCTGTCTTCTTCCTCCTTAGTGTTGCCCTTGTAGAACTCAACAGGGAAGAGGATGGAGAGGGAACTAAAATCAGTTGGCTCTGCCTGTCTTTAGTTCTAGCGCCACCTACTGTTGGCCTCCCTGTTTTCCACCCCACCAATCCCAGTGGGCCCCATGTTTAAAAGATGTGATACACAATGCTGCATGGATCTAATGTGAGAAAGCTATAGTCAATGACCCCACACCTAAAGGCAGAAGTCCTCTATGCTGCCCCCCATGTAACAGAAGGGTATTGTTATGTACTGAGTTGAATAGGATCCAAAATGCTGCAGTCTGATTGGTCCTAGAACAATAGGATTCAGAATGCAGCAGTCTGATTGGTCCTAGAACAATAGGATTCAGAATGCAGCGGTCTGATTGGTCCACAGGAGCCACCCAATCCAGCTCCAGGTGGAAGTGAATCCGCAACCTGATTGGCCTACAGGAGAATCCCGGAATTAGCCAATAACGTGGGGCCCATTGTGTAAATAATGTATATAAAGCAGACATTCTGGGGGAACTTCCATTCCTCCTCACCACTATGAGCTGAATAAAGCGCATGAAATCCACTCTCGACTCTGAGTATGTTTCAGGTATATTCCCTTGTTGTAGAGGAGAAGCCCATGTTTCAGGGGTAGGCAGGAAATTATCCCCCACTTTTTAAAAAATTGGGGAGATGCAGAGAGCACAAGCTGAAATGTTCATTTCAAGGAAGATGCCCAGTTGTGGATACAGAAGGAAGGGGTGTTTTTTTCCTGCGCTTCTTCCCTTTTAGAAAAGCTGCATTAGTTCCCCTTTCCTGAATGATAAATATTTAGGCCAAGCCCAAAGGAGTATTTTTACCTGCAAATGCATTTACCTGTAGCCTCTGTTCCTCCCACTAGAATATCCCGCTGGATTTTCCCATCATCTTCATCCAGAGCAAACCAGCGGCCGCATGGGAAGTTGTAAATACATTTGTTGCCTATGTCCTCAATGATAACCTAGGGCAGGAGCAGAGACTCATTTGAACAAGGAAAGGAGGATAGATACAAGAAAGACACAGCATTTAATAAGGACGTCCAACAGCTTTTAGCTGGATTCATGGGAACAAACACACGGCCCATCCTTCTCCTTTATTTATTGTTTCTTAAGTTTGTACCCCACCCATTCTCTGCAAAGAGCCCCCACCCCCGAGGGGGGCAAACAGATTCCCAACTGAAAAGCCATAGCAAAGCAAAAACATTCTAAAGACAACTCCAATTCGTAACATCTAGAGGTAGGTGATGGGACTGCCAGTATTCTTCAGCCACCAAATGTCTGCATAAACAACAATGTTTCGGGACCCTCCCTGAAAGTTAATCATGATGGAGAGAGGCGCACCTCGCTAGGGAGGGCGTTCCACAAGCGGGGAACCACCACTAAAAAGGCCCTGTCAACAAAAGCACCATGCTTTTGCCTGAGACTAATGGGGGAACCACAACCTTCCTTACAAAAATAGTGTGTGTTGATTTACTTGGGGGAGCTCAGAGGATTGGGTGGCAGCACTGCTAGTGGTCAAGATGGCTTCAGTCCCTGGCATCTGCAGGTAGTTCTGGAAAAGACCTGTTTCTGAGATCCCAGAGAACTGTTGCGAGTCCATATACAGTATTTTTCGCTCCATAAGACGCACTTTTTCCCTCCTAAAAAGTAAGGGAAAATGTGTGTGCGTCTTATGGAGTGAATGCAGGGGGGAGGCAGGCAGGAAAAGCCCCCAAGAGCCACACACAAGCTCCGCGCAGCTCTTGCAGGCTTTTTCCCAGGACTGACGCAGCCAGTCAGTCCCTTCTCCCTCCTCATAGAAAAGCCCGCAGGAGCCGCGAGCTCCTTAAAGGGTGTGTGGCTCCTGTGGGCTTTTGCGGGAGGTGGGGGAATTGCCATAGCCCCATGCAGCCTCTCCCGGCCGGAGAGGCTGTGCGCGGCTAAAGAAGCCAAGATAGTGAGCGGGATCCATCCCACTGGCTGTCTTGGCTTCTGCCATAGCCTCACACAGCCTCTCCCGGCCGGAGGAGCTGTGCGTGGCTAAAGAGGAAGCCAAGACAGCCAGCGGGATGGATCTTGCTTCCTGTCTTGGCTTCTTTGCTCTGGGGGGAATAATATTTTTTTTCTTGATTTCCCCCTCTAAAAACTAGGTGCGTCTTGTGGTCCGGTGCGTCCTATAGAGCGAAAAATACGGTAAATCTGTAAGGAGCTAGATGGACCTACTGGCTGACTTTCTACAAGGCAGCATCCTACGTCCGTAGAGAACAATCAGCTCATCTGCACAAACCTTGGACAAGAACCACCCGGCAGATCCTCCCTTGTTGTTGTGGCCTATGGTGATCTTCCTCAACTTTCCCAGGTTGGGAGCGTCAAGGGTAAACTTGTCTTCCGCACCTTTCTCAAAATTGTCCTTGTCGTTGTCCAGCCTCCGCTCTCCTGAGAAGCAAATGACATGGAAAGGAAAAGGCAAACAGGTGAGGAACTGTTCAGTGCAGGAATGCATGCGTCAGAGATTTCAGCTGGGAGATTCAGGGTCTGGGGCATGCGCCTAATCTAGGCCCTTGCATGTGGTCAGCCATCGGAGCCATTTCCAGGCACAAGCGCAACAGGAGCATGCAAATCTGTGGGAATGTTCAGGGAGGCAGGAGAGGATATATTATTTAATTATATCCTTTCCAACTTGTGTTAACAAGTTCTACAATTTAGCAGAGTAACATTTCCCCTTTTTAAACTTGGGCATCCACAATAATGGCAGGACGCGGGTGGCGATGTGGGTTAAACCACAGAGCCTAGGACTTGCCGATCGGAAGGTCGGCGGTTCAAATCCCCGCGACGGGGTGAGCTCCCGTTTCTCGGTCCCAGCTCCTGCCAACCTAGCAGTTCGAAAGCACGTCAAAGTGCAAGTAGATAAATAGGTACCGCTCCAGCGGGAAGGTAAATGGTGTTTCCGTGCGCTGCTCTGGTTCGCCAGAAGTGGCTTAGTCATGCTGGCCACATGACCCAGAAGCTGTACGCCGGCTCCCTCAGCCAATAAAGCGAGAGGAGCGCCGCAACCCCAGAGTCGGCCACGACTGGACCTAATGTTCAGGGGTCCCTTTACCTTTACCTGCAATAATATAACTGTGGAGGCTGGGCACCCCAGAGAGAAGCAGTTTGGCTCCACCCTCCATAGCTGACCAGAAAGGCACCCTTATGGGGGGGCTTGGACGCAGAAGCAGTCTCTCATCATTTAAACAGTAACTCCATCAACTAAAAATTACAGTTGGTGAAAGGCAATTCTTTAACCCGTAAGGGCACATTGCAAATCAATGGAGCTGCAAATGAACTGCATAATTTGCACACTTTGAGAGTGGGGGCTATTTTGGTTCTGCTGTGTCTTACAGGCCTTGAACAGGGATAGCCTAACTGTGAGGGGTAGCTTTCGTTTATTAAGCCACAAACAACTTATTATTATTATTATTGTTATTATTATTATTATTATCCTACACTTTTCTTCAGCATCTCAAAGAGGCGCCTGCCTTGAGGTACGCCAATATGCAAAATGCATGTAAATTTAATTGATAGATTCATTAATCAATAATCTGCTAAAATGTACGTGCTTAATCAAGTACAATTATTTAATCTGTTGAGAGAGACCAAGTAATTTGCCTCGATAGTTGTTTAATACAGGGCTGAAACGTGCTGTGGAGGGGGGAAAAAACAATTTCTGAAAAATTCCAGGAGGACAGCTGCACTCCTCGTGATGAGCGAAACTTGGCTCTGCGTGCTCAACTCACTTGCGTTGCATGCCAATCTGGTTGCATCAATCAACTCTGAGCACCTCACAGGCATTGCAGCGCTGGGAAGAGCAGGAACTGAGAAACAGGGAGTGGGCGGAAAAGTTTTGTGTTTGTTATCCTTTTATCCCACCCTTCCTCCAAGGACGGGTAGATAACTTTTCTTCCCACCTGAGGCCCACATTCCTTTCTGGGCCACAGGCTTGCTGGGGCCACAGGCCAGTGGTAGGCGGGGCCAGAGGCAAAAGTGGGAGGAGCAATGGATGCAAATTTACCTTTATGCAGCAGGCGAGCTCCTAGGCACACACAAGCACACACCTTTCTAGCCAGGAAACCTAGAGTTCAAGGGCATATTCCAGCCAGGCAAAAACACTCAAGGGAAGCGCAAAGCAGAGCTGGGGAAGGGCATCCCCTTGGGAGATGGGGTGTGGCTAGGGAGGGGGGGGTGATTTGAGGGATTCCTGAGGGTCGGACAGAGAGGTTTGGGGGGCTGCATTTGGCCCACAGGATTAAAGTTCCCTCCCCTGCCCAAGAAGCGTAGGGTGGCATGCAAAGTACGCTCCCGCTCGCTCACACACACACACACAAAATACATATCAAGACTGTTAGAATTCCTGCTCCATGATTGC